GCCGCGAAGGCGCCTAATAGGTCGGAGCCAGGGTCAACCGTCCGTTGGACAAAGTCCAACGCGACGACGAGAGTAATGCCGAGAGTGAACGTACGCACGGAGACACAGACGGCTCGCGGGTGGCGAGAGTGAATGCCGGCGCGGAGAGCGGTCAACATCGGTCCAACGTCGCTCCAATATCGGTCCAACGTAACGGTTGACCCTGCCGGAGCTCGGAGTATAAGCTCCTGGTGTCCGTGCCGCGAGCTTTTGAGTTGCAAAAGTGGCGCCACCTCCGCGATTGCGGGCCCACCTATTCCGATCACAGGAGCTGGTTTAACTCACCATCAGCCCACTGGTAGAATGTGCCTTCAAAACTTACATTTTAGCTCTTATCCAGTTCTAATAGAGAATTTTTACAGGGAACAACGGAAAAGGGGAAAGCTTTAAAACAGCTAGAGGTGTCGTAGAAAAGGGGAGGAGAAAGGTTGGTGGATTATATCATGCACAGTTGAAAGGAGAGAAGCAGAGGGGAACTCACATGCGTCTGATCAGAACGTACCATCGGACGGGATTTCTTCAAACGGCGACTGCTCGTCGTACATGAGCCATTCGGGGTATTCCTCCAAATAATCTCGCTTCACATTTTGGAAAATTCTTGCCCCGCCTCGTTTCTCGGGGATAAATGCTCGGCCTCCGCCACGTTTCGGGAATGCTCTGGCTCCACCTCGTTTCGGCTCTTCGAAGAAGGCTCGAGCTCCACCTCGCTCTTCAATTGGCGAAAATCCTCGTGCTCCTCCTCGTTTCGATTCTGTGAAAGCCCTACCACCGCCTTTTTTGTCTAAATCGAGAAGGCTGTCATCGTCGTCCTTTGATGGTGCGAATGCTCTCGCTCCGCCTCTCTTATCATCTTTGTAGAACGCACGAGCTCCACCTCGTTCTTCAATGGGCACGAAGGCTCGTCCTCCAGCTCGCTTCAGCTCCTTAAATGCCCTTGCTCCTCCTCTTGTGTTCACTACAAAGGTTCTGGCTCCCCCTCGTTTCTCATCCTCGAAGAACGCTCTGGCTCCACCTCGCTCCTCGATTGGCACGAAAGCTCGTCCACCACCTCGTTTCTCTATGGAGTCATCCTCTGCACGAGAGATTGCAGCAGCTGAAAATAACCACTGGATGAAAATGTGAAATGGAAGGAAGTATTGATAAAGAGGACATGGATTGTTGAAAAAATTACTGCCTCCGATGACGAGTGTTGAGAATTTCGTAGCTCTTTTAGGGGTACCCGACAGGAGGCCCGTCGCGCGGTGAGAAGGCAGGGTTAGCGGACGGGTCGCAGCGAGTGATGTGCGTGCTGTAGTGCTTTCACTCAGAAATTTCCTGAACAGTTTCGGCCTCCTGCAGGAGATTTCATTTATAAGTTATTTACCGAACTCGTTTGTTTATACCACTCATTAGACAAAGGCAACTTCACTGTTATCACGAAAAGTGGACATCTTGACATGGCATGGCATGACATCTCAACCTCCCCGCCGGAATCTTGAAGAAACCCTTACGAACTTATTTATTCATTTTTGGGATAGTTTCCTTACCCTCGACCAGGGTCAACCCTATCGTTGTTACTTTTTGAAAAATTTTTACGACC